CTCTTTGCAATCCATAGTTTTACTGGAACTTTCTTTCTACTTGAATTCATAATATTTTAAATCCTTATACTGGTATCTTTGTTCTTGTTTTCAACATAAATTGCCCCCCCCCAAAAAAAAGTACCCATACCACAGCCTCAACATTAGACTGCATTGAAATTTCTCCTACCAGATTAATTAGTCTGCTTCACTTAATCTCAGTTTCAGACAAATATCTAGTCTACAGCCATACCACCCTGAATGTACCCGATGTCATCTGATCTCAGAAGCTAAGCAGGGTCAGGCCTGGTTAGTACTTGGATGGCAGACAAATATCTAGACACAAGAAAAATGTATACAAACTTTTTACCTAGCTGTAATACACATCACCTGGAGCTTAACAGACAATGCCGTCCTTCCCAGCATAAACCTCCTGAGTATTGTCTTTACCAGAAGGATTTCTATCAGCCTTCTCTGACCAGAATTTGCCATACAGAGCAGCCTAAGGCCAGCTCTACTTTTTCAGGTAGCATTTCCAAACCTTTCCAAATATTTCCCACAAGTCATTCCAAGATTTCTGAACCACATGGTCAGGTATAAACACAGACACAACCCCACTCCTGGTACTAAATTCTGTCTTGGTTACTTTTCTTGAGTTTCTGGGACCAAATAGAAGGTTAAAGGAGGAAAGTTTTATTTAGCTCACAGTGTTTGTTTGTTTGTTTGTTTGTTTGTTTGTTTTTGCAGTACTGGGGATTGAACTCAGGACCTTGTGCTTGCCAGGCAAGTGCTTATTCTACTGAGCTATCTCCCTGGCCCTTAACTCACAGTTTGTAGAGGTTTCAGTCTGTAATCAACTGACTCAAAGGCATGGTGACACATGGCAGAAAGACAATAGTTCATGGAGCAGAAGACAGTAAAAACAATGAGAGACAGAGACAGACAGACAGACAGACCAAGACAGAGACAGAGACAGAGGGACAGAGAGATAGAGAGACAGAGATAGAGACAGAGAGACAGAGACAGAGACAGAGACAGAGACAGAGATAGAGAGACAGAGAAATATTTCTGTAACTTTTATCCAGACTTCCAGACTGATGAGATTAGGTGTTGCCAATCCAATCAGTGGACTGATCTCAGTAATCACCCACCCTTAATTCCAGTATTGAACCATGACTCAATCACAAAGTCTAGATTCATCGACCTCTGAAAAATCCCCATTGAAAAGTACACAAAGGCTTTGGGGGGACACCTATAAACCATAACACACACAAAAACACACATTCATGCACACAAGAGTTCAAGCTCACTAGGCTCTGAGATGAAGCAGGAGACCCTGACAGGGAGGGAATCTAAGGGCAGGGTCAGTTCCTTGGTGCACTCAGAGCCTTCAAATGGAAAGTTTCTGGAGGCCATCACTGACGTGGCTGTTGTCACCAGAAGATGACAGGATCCCTGCTCAACAACTTCTGTGGCCCCCTTTGCTTATGGAAAAGGCCACATGCTGTTCTTGAAGTCCATTTTCTAATTTGATCTCCCTGATGCTTTGCGCTCTGGTCCTTTCCAACTGCCCCATCCCCACATTTTTGGCCTTCCTACTTCTGCAGCTTTCTCATGGAATGCCTCCCAACAGTGCCTACAGCATTTACCACATCCTGTCAGATCAAACCAGGTACGAGCCTATGCATCCCTGCTGTCACCAAGTAGAAGAGCCCTCCCCTCCATGGGAGGGTTCTGTTTACAATGAATGCCACTATGATTGCTGGCACAGAACTGTTCCTCAAGAAATGAAAGTTATAACAACCACACCCTGACTGACTCATCCAGCCCTCATCACTGCCATTGTAAGGCTGTCGGCATCTTCACTCCCAGAGGGGAAACTGAGACACAGAGAAGGCAAGTATTGTGTCCAGTGGACAGTGGACAAGGGTCTAAGCCTGACCACAGACCCCACTTATGCTCCCAGGTGCAGCAGAGGAGGAATCACACCTGCGCTTTTACCTACATCATCTGTTGCCCATTGTAGGCCTGGATCACACAGGGCTGGTCTCAGCAGTCATAGCTGTTTCAGGAGCCCCTAATGCCAGATCTGGTGGCCAAATGATGCCATTCATCTGCATGTCCTCAGATGACTTTGTGCACAGAGTGCAAGACCAGGACTAAGTAGATGGGGCAGGACACAGCTTCCCACTGGGACACTCACCAATGAGGACCCTGCCTGCTGTGGCCATGACAGGTTGTTGGAGAATGGAAATCTCTGGCACAAAGCTTGGGAGACACCAGCACCCAGCCTCCCCTTAGAGAACTAGAGATTCCCCCATTCCCCATGCAGCTCAGTAACTAGAGGTCCCAGCTCCTTGGTGAGCCCATCCTTCGATGAAGGACACCCTCTGACAGCGTTCCCAGCCCCACGCCCACCCTGCAGCTGGCTGGCAAGAGCCCAGGAAGGAAGCTGGGGGAAGGCCAGCCACTGTGGCCCATAAATCAGGGTCATGCATACCAGGCTCTGAAGAGACACATG